CCACACACAACTCATAAAGCACACAATCACAGCACACAAACACAGTACACAATCACAGCACACAATCACAGCACACAAACACAGCACACAAACACAGCACACAATCACAGCACACAAACAGCACACAAACACAGCACACAATCACAGCACACACACTGCACACACACCGACCACATGGCATACACAGTATACACACAGCGCACACACACAGCTCACACAGCACACACACAGCTCGCACAGCACACACACAGCTCGCACAGCACACACACAGCTCGCACAGCACACACACAGCTCACACAGCACACACACAGCTCACACACAGCACACACACACAGCTCGCACAGCACACACACAGCTCGCACAGCACACACACAGCTCACACAGCACACACACAGCTCACACAGCACACACACAGCTCACACACAGCACACACAGCATACACACAGCGCACACACGCAGCATGCACACACACAGCTCGCACAGCACACACAGCACGCACACAGCACACACACAGCTCACACAGCACACACAGCACACACACAGCTCGCACAGCACACACACACAGCTCGCACAGCACACACACAGCTCACACAGCACACACACAGCTCACACAGCACACACACAGCTCACACACAGCACACACACAGCACACACACGCAGCATGCACACACACAGCTCGCACAGCACACACAGCACGCACACAGCACACACACAGCTCACACAGCACACAGCTCACACAGCGCACACACAGCTTGCTTAGCACACACACAGCTCACACAGCACACACACACAGCTCACACAGCACACACACACAGCTCACACAGCACACACACAGCTCCCACAGCACACACACAGCACGCACACAGCACGCACACAGCTCACACAGCTCACACAGCGCACGCACACAGCACGCACACACAGCTCACACAGCATACACACAGCTCCCACAGCACACACAGCTCGCACAGCACACACACAGTTCGCACAGCACACACACAGCATGCACACAGCTCACACAGCACACACACAGCATGCACACAGCTCACACAGCACACACACAGCATGCACACAGCTCACACAGCACGCACAACACACCCACACACAGCACCACCAGCTGCTCCTCTTGCCCCTCATCCCCCAGCTTTTGTCCTCGTGTCTGATTCATGTGGTGTGGTGAGTGTAGTTTGTCTATTAATGAGTGAGTAGTATATTGAGTGGTGAGTTTGGTGTTATGAGTAGTATATGGAGTGGTGAGGGTTGTGTGGTAAATCATTAATTGGTGAGTGTGGTGTGGTGACTAGTATTGTGAGTGATGAGAGTAGTACATTGAGTGGTAATAAGGAGTAAGAGTGGTATATGGAGTGGTGAGTGGTGTGACTGGTGAGTGGGCTATTGCTTGCCGAATGTTGCGTGGTGTTGGCAGGGTAATGTGCGGTGAGTGTGGCGTGTGTGGGGGTGAATGTGGCACGTCTGTGCGTATGGCGTGTGCTGTGTCTAGGGAGCGCCGTGTGTGTGCGTGGTATTAATATCTCCTGCTGGCTGGGAGACTGGGAGCGCGGTGTTCCCCGTGGACTCGCGCCCGCCTTGGCACGTGTGCCTGTGTGAGCGGTGGCGCAGCGGGTAGCGTACTTCGCTACAAACCCAGAGACCCGAGTTCCATTCTCGCTCACGGCCAACACCGGTGACGATTATCTGAACCGGCCATGGGCCTCCCCTAGGTCGGCTCAGCCTCAAAGGGGTACCTAGTACTGTGCGTAGTAAACGTCGCCACTGGGGAGACGAAGGCGGCCGAGCGTGGTGCTGGCGACCCACCCCCTCGTGTGCCTTGCCGGCCATCATAGCGAGAGGGAGACGGGAGGACCTCTCGCGTCGCAACGACTCACCGCGGCGATTTGATTAACGATTACGATCTACGATCACGTGTTACTTGCACGATTTGTAAATGATCGACAGTCGCGCACGATTTTCTGCATGCGCCGAAGATGCATCGCTGTCTGTACGGTGCGCAGGGCACGCGCGTACGTCATGCGCTCGTCCGGGACCCGGGCGGCAGCAGGTTCTGTCGTTGAAGTCTGATCTTCCTCTAGCACAGCGAGGCTGCTGGGGGAAAGTGGAAACTTGTTTTCCCTCCTCCCGTCCCAAACGACCGAGAAAATCGGCTGGAATGCGCACCCAATCTCTTCTCGGAAGCTATGACCTCGGAAGCTTAGCAGGGTTAAGTCTGGATAGTGCTTTGATGGGTGACCACCTTGCACAGCAGGGTTGGTAAAGGCTGCGGGCCTACGTGCCGGGCAGCATCGCGTAATGCAGCAAAGCCCATTGTTGTGTTGTAGTTCTATGCTCCCATGTCTGCTGCCACGTGTGTGCTCCCCAGTGGTGTGATCCGGCATGAAGCATGGTCAAATAATCCGCACGACCCGTAAGCCGCGGGTGGGCCGTCACACGTTACACACGCGTGTTACGTGTACGTGTGTCACGCGTGTGTTACGTGTACGCGTGTACAAGGAAAACTCCGTGGGCGCCGACGCGTTCGCGGAACTCATCTCCACGAGACGTCCTTCCCCCGGCGGATTTCACGGACAAAGGCGGACGGAGAGAGACGGTCGCGAACGCGGAAAGAGACGGCGAGGGACGTGGGGGGCTGGGGGTAGGGGCCGGCCCCCGCTGGTGGTGTCGTGTTACCAGTGTGGGAGTGGAGTGGCACTGAGTGGTCCGCTCCGCTCGCGCCGCCGTTGTTCCCACGGCCGGCGCTGCAGAGCCGCGTGACCGCAGGCGGCACTGCCGTGAAGGGGGACACGCGTGCGCACCCGGGGACACGCGTGCGCACGTGTGTGTAGGGAGCGGTAGTGTAGTGGTTAGCGTGCTGCGTTACTACTAACGCGCCGAGTCACAGCCAACATCCGTGACGAGTATGAACCGGTCCTGGGCCGCCACTAGGTCACCTCAGTATCTGGTGCGGTGTGTAAACATCAGCACTGTGGAGACAAAGGTCGGCCGGCCGTGGTTCTTGACACCCACCCCTTCCTGTACCGTACCGGCCTTGGTAGAGGCTACTCGCTAACAGCACTTTCCCCAAGTGTTAAATGGTACAGTGGGGATCCTTTTCTATATGTACACGTGGGTGTCTCGTGTATTTTGGTGGGCCCGTCTGTGTTCACGCGTTCACGTGCACTCGTGCGTTTCTGATGGCCGTTGGATCTGTGCTGAGTCACTCCGAGCAGCAAGAAGTGACTTGTGCTCGGGAAGCGACGCTCGCTGCGCTGCACGGATCCCCAGGGGGCACCTGGGACCCCGGGATCTAACTCCGCAGCCAAGGGTCCCACGCGATGCGGCAGGCTCTGTGTGCACCGCCGCTCGTAGTGACAACTCCGCTCGTAGTGACAACTCCGCTCGTAGTACCGCGGCGAGGGTGGCGGTGATGAATACAGAACAGGTGAACGTTCCTTGTGTGTCTGTGTATGTACACCCCCTGAATCCTTAACCCCGTAGTACATAAAGGAGGTGAAGTGAGGAGAGAGGCTCCCGTGGGAGTGAGAGTTGCCTGTGAAGTGCGACCTTTGACCCAATCTTTGCCGCCCCCTCTGCTCAAAGAGTAGCAGCACTCGTGCTTCTGCAGCTTCCATCGGACGAGAGTCGCTCGCTTTGCCGCTCACTCGCCCGGGCGCTCACTCTTGTGACCTTCCCCTGTTGCCTGTACAACCGATTCCCGGTTCTGCTATATCGATGTTTTTATTAATCATACCCAACTGCTGTCGGCGTCGTGTCATGAGATGAGTTGGATGCTCGTAGCGAGCAGCGTCATGACTCGTGTCGGAGAACGGCCCCTCCGGAAGGGGACGTCACAGATCTAATTCTGAAGTCTCTACAATCGCCTCTTTATCCACACTGGGGGCCTTCTCTGTACACCATGACAAGAGCGTTCATCACATGTCAAACCATCATGCTTCATTCTCAGAGCTGCAATGTGCCAAACAAGTGAACATTCTAATACAGTTATAATGTTTTTGTGCCATTAATAGTGATATGGCTGAGACTTGAAATCTGGTTTAGTCTCCGGGGTTTGCGTGTCTTCACGCAGTGAGTGTGAGGTCACTTCCCGCTGCTACGCACAGCGCATCGATTGGTCTCTTCATCTATGAGACTGCCTGCTCCCTGTGCCATCACACGTAGACTTACTCTTCGCCAGTTTAGGGGCAGATCATGTTACTTTTCTTTAGTTAAGTTTGTGTAGACCCTGGAAAATATATCGGAAAATCGAACGTACGTTCGGCAATGGCTTGGTGGGCAGGAGGAGCAAGGCGGCGGTGCCGAGAGGTCCTGGGTTTGAATTGAGGTTGAAGTTAGGATACGGATTTCATCAGCTTGACTGCCAGCGCTGATTGCTAAGCTTGGAGCACCTTAAGATTATCACGCAAAGTGTGGAAGGCTCGCTGCTAGGCCGGAGGTCGCGAGACAAACCCGGGAGTGAAGCGGTAACTGACTGAGATGACCGACAGATGCCCCGCCTGTGCTCCCCCTCCTCTGCCACACGAGCGGCGAGCGACGCGCGTGCGGAGACGCGTGACCATTGCGTGTCTGCGAGAGGCTGCGGCTCCGCACGGGGCCTATTAAAGGATTTACCTCCGAACCCGACGGCTGAGGCTCATGGCGCTCTAATTCCGTAGGCGATTACGGACCCGTGTGGGGAGCGGTATTGGAGTGGTTAGCACGCTGAACTACGAACCACGGAGATCCGAGTTTAATTCCCGCTCATGACCAATAATGGTGGCGAATATGTGAACCAGTCATGGGCATCCCCTAGGTCGACTCAGCCATAAAGCGAGTACCTGGTGCAGTGCGTGAACGTGGCCACTGGGGAGACTAAGGCGGCCAGGCATGGTGCTGGCAACCCACCCTCTCGTGTGCTTTGCTGGCCTTCATTAGCACTCACTAACAGCACTTGCCACAACATTCTTTAAAGGCTGTATGGGGGATGTTTGTCTTTGTGTGTGCATTCACAGAGGTGGGTGGGGAGTGTAACCCCTCGGACCACCCGCGTGCCAGCACCATCTTCCTCAGCAAGTCCCACCCAGACGGTAGAGACTGCCACTGCACGGGCACTGCCACCACTACCACACTGAACCCCAACAACATGCAGCCACCATACAACCACTACAACAACTACACTACCACCACTACTACAACACTAAACCCCGACAACACACCAACACCATAAAACCACTATGGGGTTTGTGCAACGCGCGTGTGACGCGTTTGCCATGTGTGTAACATGTGTGCCGCGATCGTGTGTGTGTATAGTTTTGTGTGTGTGTGTACGTTGTGACTTGTCCGTAGGTGTTTGTAGATGCGTGTGTTTGTACACCATGGTGTTCATGTGTGAATGGCGTGACATGTGTGTTGTGTGTAGTTGTGTGTGCGTATACGGCGTGATGTTGTGATGTGCTGGCGCTGTGCGTTGTTTATTGCAGTTCGCGACAAGAGGAAGAGCGTCCACATGAACCACGTGAGTGATGGCCCCAGGAGCGCCCGGCTCACACTCATTGTCCCTTACCTCACCGCGTGAGTGCCCAGCGCGACTCGGCATCCCTTCGGCAAGGGAGGCGTCGGGACACTTCGCGTGTCAATCGCCGTATTCTCGTCGTGTGTGCGTGTTGCGTGTGTGCATGTCACGTGTGTGCATGTAACGCGTGTTTGTGCATGTAACACTCGTGTGTGTGCGTGTAACACTCGTGTGTGTGTGTGTAACACTCGTGCATGTGCGTGTGTGCCATGCGCTGGGAGTAGGTCTCTCCGACGCAGCCTCTGAAGAAGTCAAGCTCCTGCTCCACGATTTTTCTGGACGACAGCACCGTGAGCCAGCCCAACCTCAAGTACACCATCAAGTGGTGAGCACCACATACTCACACCACACTCACCACACTCACACCACACTAATACCACACTCGCCATACACAGCCTGTACACACCCCACACGCATCCCACAAACACCACACACCACACTCACACCTCACACAGCTTGCAAACACCCCCAACACACCACCCACTGGTCTCTAATTATTGCCGTGCTTGTTTTTTGTCTTGTGCGTGCGTTTCTGTGCACGCGTGACCCTGCGTATGTATGCGTCCATGTCTGAATGACCGTGCCCGCGTGTGCATGTCTATGTGCGTGCGTCTTTGTCTGACTGCGTGTCCACGTCTGTGCGTCTCCTGTCTGCGTGCATCCCTGTACATCGGTGCCTGCGTGCGCGTATGTGCGTACGCTCGCAGCGTGGCGTTGGCCGTTTACTACCACATCAAGAAAAGGTGAGTGGCCGCGCCCTGCGTCACTCTAGACACGTGTAGGGGCTAGGGACCGGTTGGAGCGCCCCCTCGTCTCCCACGGGCTCATGGTGAACCCAGGCAGCTTAAACCAAAGTCGGTGCTGCTCGGAGGGGCGGCTGCCATCGGCAGACTGCTGAGGAGGAGGGGAAGGGGGTGGAGGGGAGGAGACTTGTCAGCAAAGCCCTCTTGAGAAGAGTACAGCATCGGCCGTATCGTCGTGATCAGGCAGACGAGCGCCGCCCGACCCCTGACTCCCGACCCCGGGGTCGTAACGGCAGATGTGTGTGGGAGCAGGGGGGGGGTCTCGGGGAGCGGCTCCAGGGGGCGGGGGTGGGGCGAGGTTGGGGGAGGGGCAGCCTCGTGGGGGGTTTGGATTGTCGCAGGCTGGATCGAGCCTGAGCTCGGCGTGCGTGCGGGGAGCTCGGCGTGCGTGCGGGGAGCTCGGCGTGCGTGCGGGGAGCTCGCGCTTCCTCTAGCGATGAGGGAGAGGGCGACTCTTCGTCTCGGGCGGTCGTGGTGGGAATCTGTCCGGGCCTTGACTTTAATTCCACAGCTCAGGATTGTGCGGGGCCTCACCACTACGACAGGGCCGGCAAACGGCATTTATCCGTCAAGTCACCGGTTGTCTAGTAGTCCTGTGCACACGGTCAGTGCCGACAGTCTTGGCGTGATCAAGGCTCGGTGTCAGCTGTTGTGGGATTGCTCGCCACAGGGAATTAAAATCCGCATTTGGCCCCCGGCAATGAAAAGTTTCCCCACCCCTGGGCTAGAGTGAGCACTGGGGTTGTGGTCGCGTTAACGGCCGAGTTAGGGTCCAGAGCTGGATTCCTCGAGTGGAAGCTGAAGTTTGGGTTTTGTCCAGAGCAGTGAAGGGGCTGGGGTTTGGGTCAGGGTTAGGCCGGGGTGATGGCTGGAGTGAATGGTCAGGGCTGGGTTATGGGAGGTTTTAGGGTCATGGTCGGCGTTCGTGTTGGGTTCAGCACCCGGGTTCGGGTCGCATGTGCGATGTCACCGCTACTTTGTTGTCCGCCGTGGTGTACCAATGAGCAGAGTCGTAGCGATTCAGCACTCGCTCAGATGCGGTGATTTCGTACAAATCTAGGTCATGATTCGGTTCACAAAATGATTACTTTATTTTCCCCAGCAGTGGTTGCGGCATCTATAGTGGCCACAGGGTTTCCCTGAACGAATCGCGATCAACGTAAATGAATGTCGGATGATGGATTCTCACACATGCGATCTGCTCGCGTGTCTTACGGGCGTAAGCGAGTTCTGGCGCTCACCGACCTCTGACCTCTTTCCCCAGGGACCCTGATGTGCGGCTCATGGAGATCTTCGATGAAAAACTTCATCCTCTCTCTGTAAGGGAGGGCTGGGAGGGGGGGGGGGCGATGACGGTGGTGGCGGCGATGGTGGCGGTGTGACGTTTGTGATGGTGCAATCATTTTGTGGTGTGGTGTTGATGATGGTGTGTTACGATGATTGTGACGACGATGTGGTGCTGTGACGATGGGATGCTGCCGTGTGACGTAACATACGTATCGTGTGCCTGCTGTGCGCTACGCCGTCGTGCGACGGAGCAGAAGAGCGAGACGCCGGCTGATTACGAGAAGCATGAGCCGGACCACAAGCAGATCTACCGCTTCGTGCGCACGCTGTTCAACGCCGCGCAGCTCACCGCCGAGTGCGCCATCGTTACCCTCGTAAGGCCACGCAGCACTCGCCATGGGGTTGCGAGTCACCGCCGGGGTCAGGTGTAATGACTGAACGCAACTCATCGCTCGCTTTCCTTGATCCTGTACATCCCCCCGCGCCAGGTGTATCTGGAGCGGCTGCTGACGTACGCGGAGGTGTCCGTGTGTCCGGGCGGGTGGAAGCGCATGCTGCTGGGAGCCATCCTGCTGGCGTCGAAGGTGTGGGACGACCAGGCCGTGTGGAACGTCGACTACTGCCAGATCCTGCGCGACATCACGGTGGACGACATGTGAGCAGAGACTAAGCTCCCCCGTGCAGCATTGTCTAGGCTGCTGGGGCAAGTGCTGTTAGCGAGCGCCTGTGACGGGCGGTGGGGCGAATCTGTCCACAGAGATGTGGCCACTGTTGAATTCCTCTCAAAGTGGTGCTCATTTCGTCGACCTCGGGGGGGGGGGGGGGGGGAATGGGTTGCGTCGACTCATCGAGATGTGGACTCGCAGCCTTCAGAATGCGAGCCTTGAAGTGGCGTGCCTGGATAAATCCCTTGCATACGATCACGTAACGCTCAAAGTTCCATAAGGATGGACGGGTTCACGAACCCACTCGCCGTACCGACGTCTCCTTGCCACCTCGTAGCTCCGCGTGGCTGGGATTTTCACCCGGCGAGACACTCGCCTAACCGCCAGGCTCCATTCCGGGGAGTTTTACAAACAAATCTCCGCGTGACTCGCCAACCCTTGCTTCGTAAGCGCTGCACGACTGGCGCGGCGCCACTCGCGGGTGTGGAGTGTGGGTTCCGTGTTTGACTCGGCCTCCATCGTTGGCACCCCCCACCCACCTACTCTCCAGGAACGAGCTGGAGAGACAGTTCCTGGAGATGCTGCAGTTCAACATCAACGTGCCGTCCAGTGTCTACGCCAAGTACTACTTCGACCTGCGGTCGCTCGCCAATGACAACAACCTCAACTTCCCCCTGGAGCCGCTCAGCAAGGAGCGCGCACAGAAGCTTGAGGTCTCCGTCTCTCACACAGATGCGCACGCACAGACACGCACAGGCACGCACAGACACGCACGCTCAGACATGCACAGATTCGCACGTACATGCACGCACAGATGCGCACACAGACATACAGACACAGATAGACATGCAGACGGATATGCACAGACATGCAGACACGCAGGCTCATACACATACAGATACTGTCGAATACACATACAGATACTGTCGAATACACACAGACATGCAAATACACACAGATAGGTACACACGCATGCAGACACTTCACACAGACACGCACAGATGTGTACCTGCAGACACCAACAACAGCAGCCACCATTTGACACTAAGTGATAGTGACGTCACCACAGCGATTGTGCCAGGCTAAATGCACTTTGAGGCCACATCAACTGCCAAGGCTTGCTGGCAGGAGATCACAGTACAGACCCAATAGCATAATTCACGAGCCTCCTTCACAAAGGCCAATCTTGACACCACTGGTATCATTGCCAAGCCCATTCAGCACCACGTCTTCCCATACGACATTGGCCCATGTCTTCCCTAGCCCCTACCATGCCTATTTAGCCCCCTCTCTCTGGCCAAACAGAACCTGCTTGGGCATGTGGTGGCTGGGCATGTGGGCTACATGACGCAGGTAACGTAGGAGGAGTCTACTGTTGGGACTACGGCCAGATCTTTCAAAGATCTTGTGAGATCACAAAATCCAGTCTAGTTCAATCAAAGATGCATCATAGACAGGCCAGCCTCAATGTTTCGAACTGGCACAGATGTTGCTTTAAAGAGATCCACGTTTCACAAGCATAGAGAAGACCCAGAGCTCATATAGAACAATAGTTTCGGTAGCTTTCACACAGCGTTATACAGCCAATCAAAAAATAATGCCGCTCGACTTATTTGGAGCGAGACCTCTGCTGCCAAAGTGGAGCTGGTAAAAAGCACACCTCCCAGGAACAGAAACTCCACTTTTCACAACTGTCCCATAACTCATGGGGAGTTAAGGGAGAGGAATATTTGAAGGCATAAAATACCGAGACATACACACATACATGCACATACAAACAGATAGACACAGGACGCTATTGAGCCGTATGAGCTGCCTGAGTGGAGAGGAGGCGGTGGCATCTGGTGTGTGTGGGGCTGTGCTGCGTGTCTGGCTGACTGCCTGCGGTGACGTGCATGGGTCTAGGCCATCTCTCGGCTCTGCGAGGACAAGTACAAGGACCTGAACAAGACGACGATGCGACGCTCAATCAGCGCGGACAACCTGGTGGGCCTGCGGAGAACCAACGCAGTGCTGTCTTAACCCCATCAACACCATCACAGCCATCACCTCCACCACAGTGCTGTCCTATCCCCATCAACACCATCACGGCCATCGCTAACTCCATCATCAGCACCTCCACTCCCCTGCTGTTCTAACCCCACCATCACACCCATCATCGTCATTATCACCGCCATCAAAACTGTGCTTTCCTTGCCCCATCACTCACATCATCATCTCCATCACTTCCACTCCATTGTTATCCGTAAGACCACTATAATCACAATCACTATTGTCATCAACACTTACCACCGCCACTACTCCCTGCTTCTCTACATGTGGCACATCTCAGGCAGATGGACGGGGTTGGGAGGATGAGGAGGTTTCTGCGGTCATGGGTCAGACTTAATAGTGGATAAAACTAGGTGTGATGGGTAATGTACATGAATGTCAGCTGACTGGAATTTAGGGCAAGAGGTATTAAGTATGGTCAGGAAGGACTGGGGGATTAGTGACTTCATTTTTCGTGATAGCCTAGAATATAGAAATGGATCGTGATGGACTAGGGTAGAGGGATGCAGGCTGGGTTTCATGTGATGGTATGATGCGATGGTATCACCGTGGAGAGACTGGGTCCATCCCAGCTACGCAGCCCACCCAGAGCACTCGTTGCGTGGAGCGACTCTTCGTGAAGGTGCCGCCTCCTCTTGCTCGGGAGACGATAACTCTGAAAACGTTGCTCCTTCGTGGGCTGAGATTCGTGGACTTTGGATGAACCTGACCCCAGAGGGAGAACCCCACCTTGGGAGGAACCGGGGGGGGGGCCTGTACCGCTCGGGGACCTCCGGGGAGTGCGGCGATGGATTCCACTTGCCGTGCACCACACGCGGCTCTGAAGTTTAATTCTTCCGTGGGAGGAGGGGGGGGGGGCGTGGAGGTGCGAGGAATTCAAGTGGTTGTGGTCGTGAAGATTGAGCTCCGGGCTCTTGAAACGCGAGCGGAGCGTGGCACAAGCGGCAGTTACCGATGGACGTAGCCAAGCGGCACCAACCCCGAACCCTGGCCACGACCGTGGCTCCGCGTGCACAGCCCCAGCGTCGCGCTGCCATGCGGGGGGGGGGTCAAGCTGGGCCACCCTGGAGCAAGCCGTTCGGCCGCGCAACATCTCCCCGCCACCTCCGAGACATTTCAGCCCGTTGGCCTCCCATTGGCCGGGCGCCTCCATTTATTTTCTTATCGATGTTATTTTTGTTTTGTTATGGAAGTGATTTAAGTTACATTTGTAGGTTGATTTTAATTTTTTTTAAATGCAGTATTAGTAATTTCAGGTCCAATGTTTAGCAACGAGACCTGCGTGGATCCTGAAGGGGGGCAGTGGGAGCTGATGAATTGCACATCGGGGGCTGGAGGGGATCGGGGGGGGTGGGGGGGCGGAAATGTCGCTGCCCACCCCCCGCCCCCCACCCCACGGCCCCGACGCCACTTGAACTCCACGCGCCCGTCGTGGATCCGCCCCCGCGGCCCCTGCCCCCTGCGAGTGCCGCTCCCTGTTCCGCCGCAGCAGCCGCTTGCTTAGAATCTGCGGTCTCCCCTGCGAAGCAGGGCGGGGGCCCAGCGAGCTTCGCCTCCACTTTCTCGTGGGGTGCGTAGAGTCCACTGTTGATTTAGGGCCATAACGTTTTACAAGTTACTTTACGCACAGTTTTTTTTCCTCCAAATTTACGATTCGGGCGATGATAGCACACAAGTATCCTCTTACAATGACATCACAGGGTCTTTTTGAGTCCAATTTTACAGCAGACGACGATGCACTTTGGTAATTCCCGTGTAAGTTGCCGGGCAGCTGTATTGAGAATTGAACTGTGACCCACGTGCCGACTGGCCAGCTGTCCGCTCGCATTTGCCCGACGCAGCGAGTGTTGCCAGCCGAATAAATGATCTGTCAGCCGAGGAGAAAGCCCGTCAGCCAGAACGCGCATGTGAGTTTACATGCGCATGCCAAGACAGCGAGGGTCCGGGTGTTCAGGGCGCACTGCATCATGGATATTACCCACAATGCCACCCTCCATCACAGAGCAAGCACACAGCAGCCTGGCCGTAGCACCGGCTTCCATGAGCACTTGTGTGGCCTCGTTCAGCCGAGCGGTGCTAATTGGACATGACGGACAACAACTGTCTGTCGAATTAACCCCGAATGGTGTTCATCGGTGCATCGTAGCTCAAATGTTGTACGGTAGGAATGGTGCCTGTGGGCGTGAGTGCAAGCGCGGCCGATAGTTCAACCTGCAGACGCGGTTGTGGTAAGGCAGCAGCGAGGGTCCGCAGTGAGAGATGGAATCCGTGTTGAGCACCAGGCCGCTGCTGTGCCCTCTCTGATGAGGCCCGCGGGACAGCTGTGCGCTGCTCACACGGTGCTGTGCAGCCGGGAACGTCCTTCGCCTCGGCGGCGGCGGCGAAACGTCGACGTGTCCCGTGAACAAAGTGTGGCGAGGGTTGTCGGTTTCATTGTTTTAAGTTTGCGTGCGTGAGTCGTGCCGAGTCGTCCGAAAGTGAAACAATTGAGCGTGGTGGGGTGAGGCAATGCGAGCCTTGGTGGGGGGGGGGGGGCATCACCCTTCGCACGGCACAACACCTCAACTACTGTACCCAGGGTGGTGATGAAGATGAGGGTGACTACGATGAGGGTGACTACGATGAGGGTGATGATGATGAGGGTGATGATGATGAGGGTGATGATGAGGGTGAGTGACACTACTGCGCAGACCCCGAGTGTGGTGGCGAGGGAGCGTGTTTTGTAACGTGAACTGTGCTAATGAATTTCAAGCCCAAATAATTGAGCTGTAACTGGCTAAATTGGCGCAAAACATATATATGCGGTATATATAAGAAAAGGTATATACAAATATATATTTTTTATAACGATGTGTTTTTAAATGGCGGGGAAAGTCTGAAGTGACGTGCGCTTTTGAAAATCAGAAGTGCCGGTGGGTTGTAATTTATCGCGTGCTTCATCAAAACTTGATCGGGCTGAGTGGATTTGCAGACGTGGTAATATCAGCTGAATGTACAAGTCAGTTTCCAGTTTTGAAAGAAAAAAATCGCATAAATAAAACATTTGTTGGCCAAGGAATCGGAGATCCCAGAAATATTTTCTACCAACGAGGCAAGCGGTTTCTAGTGCTTTCTACCTCCAAGTTGTCGTCTTAATGTAAATAACTTTTTACTGGGAGGGAACAAATAAACGCCAACTTTCAAAGCCCCGTCTCGCCATGCGTTGTTGCGCCGCCGTGGCTCAGTTCGCCGCTGCGCTGTCGTCTCTATCAGTTAGTCGGTCTACACATCGATGGTTATCGATTCATCGCGGACCTGCGCTGATCACACACAGCTCTGCGGAGCAACACGATTGAGTCTGTTGCAAAACTGCCGTAGACTCGATGGATGGATCCCGAACATCTGCCAGTAACTGGCTCCAAGTTGGGTCGGGTCGGAGACGTCGTTGAAATGGCAACAGCATCACAACCACTCTGGGCCGCGGATCGGAGCGTCGATTGGCTTCTGTTGCGTACGATCCGCACTGCGAGTCGAGGTCGGATGGAGAGGATTGATGCAGACGCTTGTAGCCGAGTGGGCATAGATTGTAAACAATCCCATGTTCGATAGGTAGCCACTGGAACCCATTTTCCACTGAGGTGGTCACACAACGATCCGGCGAGCCGCGGCATTCCACACCGATGGGAGTGGATGCGGTTGTCCAGCGCTGGTGAAGCTGAAGCTGCTGCCGCTGAAAAAGTCGATGCGACTGATGACGAATGCCTGGGATAGGCAGGCACAATGTACAGCGGATTTCTCTGTAGTGCTCCTAGACTGCCCCGCACCTTTCCATGAATGTTATAGCGTTCGTGCGATGTTGAAATTCTTAAATAATTTAACCTACGGACCAATATTTCTCTATTTTAACGTGTTGGCCCTGGCATTGCTAATCCGCTCTACCACATATAATAGTCTCGTGGTGATGCGAGCCGTTTTAGAATCGTACAATGGAAAGGCATGTTGTTGGAGAGTGCCGCTCGTGGTGGCCACGGAGGGAGGAGGCTGTTGAATCTCAATTAGCTTCCTACTAAAACAAAACAATCAGCCGAGAGCTCATTGTGAGCAGAGCTGCCTTAGGGCCCAGTGACGCATGTTCCACACATGTTCCACACATGTCGGCGATTTAGACATGCGTGGGACTGCTTTGTAAAGAACCGCAGACGACGCTCCTAATTTTAAAGCGTAGAAATTAGCAGATTGTCGGTAATTACGTAACTAAACATAAGTAAACAGACGGGGATCTGTTAGTCCCTTCAGCCAATGGGAGTTTTCAAGCAATGTTTTCCATAAAGCAGTAAGAGGGAAATTTCTGGGGCAGATTCAACATTTTGTGTCTCATCAGCAATGTGTGGATCCTTGGACATCTGTGAAAAGAGCTTCGTAGCTCATCGGATTCCTCCAGAATAAATAAATATTCTGAAACATGCAGTCGGATCACAAAGACCCGTAACTGAGTCGTCTAATGCAGTTTCGCTCACGACTGGCTTAGGAAGAGGACCGCTTTGGCTGTAGAATGGGGCCGTCGCCAACCTGCGTCAAGTAACAACTTTCCTCCTTGGGCAAAGAGAGTGACTCTCAAGTCGGATTGAGTGAAGGACACCGCCGCAAGTCGCTGGAGCTCACGGGGCACGTGGTTAAGACGGGGAAGCCGCGGGAATTTAAGCTCGGCTGCCTTTAATCTCGCGACAAATGAAGCACCATCACATGCAAGAACCGAGCGGTAACACTTTCACTGACACGGGGCTACACGTGCGGTCACGACCCCGGGGGCCCGGCAACACTGGGATGCACGCCACCGCACTGGGCTCCAGCGATGCGGTTCCCTCCTGCACGCTGTTCCAGAAGTCCACTTTGATTTTAAGGAAAGCGGAGGTCAGGGACGGAGGATTCGTTTGTCGGGGAAGGAGAAACTTGAGGCTGGCTGCCTGTCACCACGCCATCAGATGCCTCCCCTCCCCGCGCAATCGGCGTTAGATTTGCGTGATGTGGGCTCCTCGCAGGATGCTGGATGGTCAAGCTTCCCAACTCATGAAACCGCATTGACAACAGCAATAATAATAACAACACATTCGGCCACATAGGCCACTAATAGACATTTACATTACTTGGGCTCTTCATCAGGTGTGGTGCCATGCTGTCTGTGGTGAGTGTGGTGGTGATCCATCAGTGGTAGTTCGTAGGTAGCATGGTGAGTGTGGTGAGATATCCGCGGTAGTCGTGGTGAGTGTGGTGGTGATCCATCAGTGGTAGTTCGTAGGTAGCATGGTGAGTGTGGTGAGATATTCGCGGTAGTCGTGGTGAGTGTGGTGGTGATCCATCAGTGGTAGTTCGTAGGTAGCATGGTGAGTGTGGTGAGATATCCGCGGTAGTCGTGGTGAGTGTGGTGGTGGTCCATCAGTGGTAGTTCGTAGGTAGCATGGTGAGTGTGGTGAGATATTCGCGGTAGTCGTGGTGAGTGTGGTGGTGATCCATCAGTGGTAGTTCGTAGGTAGCATGGTGAGTGTGGTGAGATATCCGCGGTAGTCGTGGTGAGTGTGGTGGTGATCCATCAGTGGTAGTTCGTAGGTAGCATGGTGAGTGTGGTGAGATATTCGCGGTAGTCGTGGTGAGTGTGGTGGTGATCCATCAGTGGTAGTTCGTAGGTAGCATGGTAAGTGTGTGGGGAGCTATCCGCGGTAGTTGGCGTGTATCTCGGGCCGCACGTCCCACACAATGGTGAGGAGGCGGCGCAGCACGGGGTCGCGTGCCTCTCTCTGCCGCGCGTGCATCGCGTGCACCCGGCCACGCGTCTCCTCCTGGATGCGCGCCGACACATCTCCCTGCGAGCCCAGCACCTGCACAACCACAACAAGAACCACACAAATTACAAACACAATTACGAACAACTCTTAAACAATGATCGCAATATCCACAATCACAACGACAACCACATCTACAATCAGAATCACAACCTCAATTAAATCACAACATCCAGAATCACAACCATAATTGCAACATTCATAATTCCAACAAAAGACAATTGCCATAATCAACAAAACGACCGCACGCAATCACAACCACTAAAATAAGTAAAACTACACTATGTTACACCACACTACGCCTATCAATGCTTCAATGAGACCATCACCGTGTCCTGCTTGCTGTGTCACTGTGTCATTGAGTGTGTCACTGTGTCATTGAGTGTGTCACTGTGTCATTGAGTGTGTCACTGCGTGTCAGAGCGTGTCAGAGCGTGTGTCACCATGTCCTGCTTTCTGTGTCACTGTGTCATTGAGTGTGTCACTGTGTCATTGAGTGTGTCACTGCGTGTCAGAGCGTGTGTCACCGTGTCCTGCTTGCTGTGTCACTGTGTCATTGAGTGTGTCACTGTGTCATTGAGTGTGTCACTGCGTGTCAGAGCGTGTGTCACCGTGTCCTGCTTGCTGTGTCACTGTGTCATTGAGTGTGTCACTGTGTCATTGAGTGTGTCACTGCGTGTCAGAGCGTGTGTCACCGTGTCCTGCTTGCCCCGGAACTCTGCGTCGCGTTGCTGCCGGTACTGCTCGATCTCAGCCTGTGCCTCCTCCTTCGCCTGACGCAGCCTGCGAGCCTTGCCTGTGGGGTGGGCAGTGCCAGCATCATCATCAACTCTACCACCACAATCAGCATCAGCAATACCATTACCTGAGCAATCAGAATCATCACCATCACAGCAGCAACACTACGACCACAATAATCATTATCATCAGCACCACGAGAACCATCGCAATCAGCAGCAGTACTACCACCATAATTACATCAGCAGCCCTTTCATAGTTGCCATGGTGATAATGTAGGTGGTGGTTGCCACGGCTGTCATGGTGGAGGTCGTTGCCATGGCTGTAATGGAGGTCGTGGTTGTTGCCAGGGCTGTAATGGAGGTCGTGGTTGTTGCCATGGTTGTAATGAAGGTGGTGGTTGTTGCCATGGCTGTAATGGTGGTGGTTGTTGCCATGGCTGTAATGGTGGTGGTTGTTGCCATGGTTGTAATGAAGGTGGTGGTTGTTGCCATGGTTGTAATGGTGGTTGTTGTTGCCATGGCTGTAATGGTGGTGGTTGTTGCCATGGTTGTAATGAAGGTGGTGGTTGTTGCCATGGCTGTAATGGTGGTGGTGGTTGTTGCCATGGCTGTAATGGTGGTGGTTGTTGTTGCCATGGTTGTAATGAAGGTGGTGGTTGTTGCCATGGCTGTAATGGAGGTGGTGGTTGTTGCCATGGCTGTAATGGTGGTGGTTGTTGCCATGGCTGTAATGGTGGTGGTTGTTGCCATGGCTGTAATGGAGGTCGTGGTTGTTGCCATGGTTGTAATGAAGGTGGTGGTTGTTGCCATGGCTGTAATGGTGGTGGTTGTTGCCATGGTTGTAATAGAGGTGGTGGTTGTTGCCATGGCTATAATGGTGGTGGTTGTTGCCATGGCTGTAGTGGTGGTGGTTGTTGCCATGGTTGTAATGGTGGTGGTGGTTGCCATGGCTGTAATGGTGGTGGTTGTTGCCATGGCTGTAATGGTGGTGGTTGTTGCCATGGTTGTAATGAAGGTGGTGGTTGTTGCCATGGCTGTAATGGTGGTGGTTGTTGCCATGGCTGTAATGGTGGTGGTTGTTGCCATGGCTGTAATGGAGGTGGTGGTTGTTGCCATGGCTGTAATGGTGGTGGTTGTTGCCATGGCTGTAATGGAGGTGGTGGTTGTTGCCATGGCTGTAATGGTGGTGGTTGTTGCCATGGCTTTAATGGTGGTGGTTGTTGCCATGGTTGTAATGAAGGTGGTGGTTGTTGCCATGGCTGTAATGGTGGTGGTTGTTGCCATGGCTGTAATGGTGGTGGTTGTTGCCATGGTTGTAATGAAGGTGGTTGTTGCCATGGCTGTAATGGTGGTGGTTGTTGCCATGGCTGTAATGGTGGTGGTGGTTGTTGCCATGGCTGTAATGGAGGTGGTGGTTGTTGCCATGGCTGTAATGGTGGTGGTGGTTGTTGCCATGGCTATAATGGTGGTGGTTGTTGCCATGGCTGTAATGGTGGTGGTGGTTGTTGCCATGGCTGTAATGGTGGTGGTTGTTGCCATGGCTGTAATGGTGGTGGTGGTTGTTGCCATGGCTGTAATGGTGGTGGTTGTTGCCATGGCTGTAATGGAGGTGGTGGTTGTTGCCATGGCTGTAATGGTGGTGGTTGTTGCCATGGCTGTAATGGTGGTGGTTGTTGCCATGGCTGTAATGGTGGTGGTTGTTGCCATGGTTGTAATGGAGGTGGTGGTTGTTGCCATGGTTGTAATGAAGGTGGTTGTTGCCATGGCTGTAATGGTGGTGGCTGTTGCCATGGCTGTAATGGAGGTCGTGGTTGTTGCCATGGCTGTAATGGAGGTGGTGGTTGCCAGGGCTGTTGGCTGGACTCACGCTTGCGCGCCTCGGCCACTCGCTCCGCCGCGCGCTTCTCGGCGTGCAGCAGCTGCTGGATTCCCTGCGACTGACTCGCCATGGCGGGTGACAGCACGAGGCGGTGGAGAGGCGCAGGGGGCAGAGACGATGGCGACCGCGGGGCGGCTCCTCCCGTCTCACGCAGCAGCAGATGGACCACGTCACGTGACGCGGGCTTACCCCCGCCTCGCCAAACCACGTGCTCGCCGAACGGTGCCCCCCCCACCCCTCTCCTTTCCACACAGCTTAACCACGTGATCCAAATACCAACCACGTGACCACGGAACCCCCCCCTCCCCCGCCATATGTAAACCTCGCGGCCATCTTGGCCCGGGGTAGAAGGAGGCGGCAGAGCGGCCCGGGGGCCTCCAGGGAGGCGTCCGCGGTCACACCGAGAGAGCTCGTGGAACATTCTTTTAACGCATTATCTCACGCATACACGTTTAATGTTATTTTCGGTGGCATTTAATGTTTGCATTAACAAAAAAAACTCGGAACATCCGCCAACAACACTTCGTGTGGCCTTAAAAGGGAAACCAAATATATAATAGGCGACGTTTTGGGCAATGGCCCTTCGTGACGTGCTATGAAGGGCCATCCGCTGGTGCCCAGGAGCGCTCCGTCCCCCCCCCCCCCCCCCGCCGAGCGGCAGCCTCCTCCTCGTCCCAGAATGACAGCGGCAGCTCCGCGTCCATCGCCAGGGAGAGGAGGAGGAGGAGGCAGGAGGAGGAGCGGGTTGCGTGCAAACGCCACGGTGGTCGTCTTGCAGCCATTGCCCTGGTGATGCTGCTTGCTGCTAAGTTGGCAATGGTGCTGCATGCGTACAATTAACAACCTCAACACGTTCACCAGTAACAACACCGTGGCCTTACACTGACAAATACGACATGAGATGTTTCGACCAATGACTCCCTTTAATCGCAATCGTTCGAGGCAGGAGGGTGATGATGGAGATGGTTTTAGAATGATGTTTTTTGCTCATTCAAACGCATTGATTGTGCATCTCGACTGAGAGCAAGACTGAGTGTGAAACCATTCTAAACGCGAATCACGAAGAGGAGATGGGGGAGCGGTAGTGTAGCGGTTAGCGCTACGCTGCGCTGCAAACCTGGTGACCCGGGTTAGATTCCCGCTCATGGCCAACACCAGTGACGATTATCTAAACCGGTCCTGGGCCTCCCCTAGGTCGACTCAGCCTCAAATGAGTACCTGGTGCGGTGTGTTAACATCGCCACTGGGGAGACAAAGGCGGTCGGGCGTGGTGCTGGCCACCCACCCCCTCGTGTACCGTTCCGGCCTTCATAGGTGCTCGCTAACAGCACTTGCCCCTACAGTCTGTTAAGGCTATATGGGGGATATTTTATGTGGAGGGGGAGGAGTGAGTGATGTGGAGGAGGAGTGAGTGATGTGGAGGGGGAGGAGTGAGTGATGGGGAGGAGTGATGTGGAGGGGGAGGAGTGAGTGATGTGGAGGGGGAGGAGTGATGTGGAGGAGTGAGTGATGGGGAGGAGTGATGTGGAGGGGGAGGAGTGAGTGATGTGGAGGAGTGAGTGATGTGGAGGGGGAGGAGTGATGTGAAGGGGGGATGATGTGAAGGGGGAGGAGTGAGTGAAGTGGAGGAGTGAGTGATGTGGAGGGGGAGGAGTGATGTGGAGGGGGAGGAGTGATGTGAAGGGGGAGGAGTGATGTGAAGGGGGAGGAGTGATGTGAAGGGGGAGGAGTGAGTGATGTGGAGGAGTGAGTGATGTGGAGGAGTGAGTGATGTGGAGGGGGAGGAGTGAGTGATGTGGAGGGGGAGGAGTGAGTGATGGGGAGGGGGAGGAGTGAGTGATGGGGAGGAGTGATGTGAAGGGGGAGGAGTGAGTGATGTGGAGGAGTGAGTGATGTGGAGGGGGAGGAGTGAGTGATGTGGAGGGGGAGGAGTGAGTGATGGTGAGGGGGAGGAGTGAGTGATGTGAAGGGGGAGGAGTGAGTGATGTGGAGGAGTGAGTGATAGGGAGGGGGAGGAGTGAGTGGTGTGGAGGGGGAGGAGTGAGTGATAGGGAGGGGGAGGAGTGAGTGATGTGGAAGGGGAGGAATGCGCTCGTGATGTAGGGCGAGGGGAGGTGGTGGAGGAATGGATGATGCTGATCCGTAGAGGGGAGAAGGAGGATTCTGTGTGCGGAAGAGAAGGGTTGCCCGGGTCGTCGCGATGGCCATGAAAGGTGAGAGGAGGCTTCGCTCTCCATGCCGGGGCAGAATCTCCGTCTCTCTCTCTCGTGTCTCTGTCTGTCCCCACTCCCGGGCTTTGTGTCTTTGTTGTCCTCTTCGTCGTAGTCGTTGCGAGTGGTCGGGGGGGTGCAATGTGGGTAACCGCTTCTCCTGACCGGGCCGTGTGGCGTAGTAGATTGTTTCCTGAGTCCGTGTGGCGTAGTAGATTGTTTCCTGAGGCCGTTCTCCGTTCTACCGAGTTTAGTATCGCAGCCGCCGATTACAGTCTTACAACTTGTCTTGAGTTACACTTTGAGCACAATGGCGAGGCCCACTCCATACGGAGCCACGTCCTGCGGCCACCGACCACGGCGGCGATGGTGATGATTGCGATGATGATGATGATTGCGATGATGGTGATTTTGGTGACGGGAGGGATGTTTGCTGTGATGGTGGTGGTGATTGTGATGATAGTGATTGTGATAGTTGTGGTGATTGTGATGATAGTGGTGGTGGTGATTGTGATGATAGTTGTGGTGATTGTGATGATAGTTGTGATGACAGTTGTGGTGATGGTTGTGATGACGGTTGTGGTGATGGTTGTGATGACGGTTGTGGTAATAGTTGTGGTGATTGTGATGATAGTTGTGATTGTGATGATAGTTGTGATTGTGATGATAGTTGTGGTGATTGCGATAGTGGTGGTGATTGTGATGAGTGGTGGTGATTGTGATGATGGTTGTGGTGATTGTGATGATAGTGATGATGTTGTGGTGATTGTGATAGTTGTGGTGATTGTGATGATAGTTGTAGTGGTTGTGATGATAGTTGTGGTTGTGATGATAGTGGTGGTGGTTGTGATGACAGTTGTGGTGATGGTTGTGATGACAGTTGTGGTGATGGTTGTGATGACAGTTGTGATGGTTGTGATGACAGTTGTGGTGATGGTTGTGATGACAGTTGTGGTGATGGTTGTGATGACAGTTGTGGTGATGGTTGTGATGACAGTTGTGGTGATGGTGATGATAGTTGTGGTGATGGTGATGATAGTTGTGGTGAGGGTGATGATAGTTGTGGTGATTGTGATGATAGTTGTGGTGATTGTGATGATAGTTGTGGTGATTGTGATGATAGTTGTGGTGATTGTGATGATAGTGCTGGTGATTGTGATGATAGTGCTGGTTGTGGTGATAGTGATGATAGTTGTGGTGATAGTGATGATAGTTGTGGTGATAGTGATGATAGTTGTGGTGATAGTGATGATAGTTGTGGTGATAGTGATGATAGTTGTGGTGATAGTGATGATAGTTGTGGTGGTTGTGATGATAGTTGTGGTGGTTGTGATGATAGTTGTGGTGGTTGTGATGATAGTTGTGGTGGTTGTGATGATAGTTGTGGTGGTTGTGATGATAGTTGTGGTGGTTGTGATGATAGTTGCGGTGATTGTGATGGTTGTGAGAGGTAAGGACGAGGTCCCGGTTGGGTTGGTGTTGCGGTGTCGTTTCCAGGACCCGGTCTTTGTCTCGTGGCCTCGTGGAGGTCTCCACACCGAGTACCACAAATACCCTGTAGAAGACGGTGTTTGGCCTCCCCTTCTTCCCACGCACACTTTATCCCACCACACGCGACATACCTGTCTCCTGCATAATTTGCAACAATGGAACAAGCGCCTTAACTCCCATCGCTTATATCCACGGAGCATTATAAATGGGTTCATGTACAACATAAACGTATTCAATACATCGTCATCTGTGCCACTACGTGCAGTGTCAAAGATCAACTCGTTTCTTCAGAACTGCTGTGTTTAGTTTGTTGCCCTTCCCTTGGTCGGCTACGTACGGTCAATAGAAAGTTGTCATGATCATGATGCGCCTTGAAACTGCTCGACTTAACGACACGATTCCCGATGTTCATTGTTACCCTCTGGCCTGGCCGGCTTTGTTGTTGTTCTGTTGACAGCTCTACTCGGGCTGTCGTTCGGAGGGGCCCTGGGCCTGGTGCTGCTGGGCCTTGCCTGTGCCCTGCCCATGTACAAGTGAGCGCGCCTCGCCACTACACAGATGCAACTTACAACAATATAAACAATGCCTTTTAGTAACACAGACTGTTGGGGCAAGTGCTGTTAACGATCCCCTCTGAAGGTAGTACTCTATATCTACACACACACACCACGGTGCAAGGCCGTGCCAGGTTTAACGCAGGCGTCTTCCTGTGGTGTCCCCAGTGTGTTCTGGCCGCTGCTGGTGCTGACGTTCCACGCGCTGGCGCCCGTGCCGGAGCTGCTGTGGCGCCGTGCAGGCCGTGACTCTGACGCAGGGAGCAGCTTGGGGCGAGAGATCACCCTGTTCCTCATCGCCGGCGCCGTCACTAGCGCGTTCGGGCTGCCCATCGTCCTCGCGCACACAAGCGTTGTAGGGCATCGCCTCCACGACAACCACCGCTACAGCCAACGCCACCACAGTCATCGCCACGCAACAATAAACCTCCAGCAAATACCATAAGCACCTACATCACACGCCCTTATCAACAATGCAACCAGTTACACCGCACACCTATAACCCCCATCACACCGCACACCTGTAATACCCATCACACCGTACACCTGTAACACCCATCACACCGTACACCTGTAACACCCATCACACCGCACACCTATAACACCCATTACACTGCACCGGGTACTCCTTTGAGGCTGAGTCGACTGACGGTGGACCAGGACTGGTCACTGGTATTGGCTGTGAGCAGGAATCAAACTCGGGTCGCCGGGTTTGTTCGTAGTGCAGCACGCCATCTGTTACACTCCCGCGCACACCTTCACGTGCATCGCCACATCCACACGACCTGTGTTGAGGCGCGCGTGTCTGTGTACGTGCGCCTGTAGATTCAATGGGGCGCGTGCGGGCTCACGTTGGCTGGAAACGCCGTCCTCTTCAGCACGGTCCTCGCCTTCTTCCTCGTGTTTGGGCAAGAAGACGACATCGGCTGGAGTCAATGGTGACTCCTAGTCCGGCCTCAACGTTCCTCGCTCTGTAAACATTCGTCCTTTTTATATGTTTCTTTAAACAACGTTTTGTAATGTGCAGACCTCCTGATAGTGTATGCACTTAGTAGACAAAAATACATAGGCTGACCTTTAGCATCCCTGGACAGAGAGGCCACAGAGGAGACAACCTTCTGTTGCTACATGCAATAATTTCCATGTCCTGGGCTTGGCCAACGTCACGTGACATCTTTACCACTTCCCAAGGCCTTGTAATAAACCCATCTGAGACACTTTTTTTGGTCAAGTTCTAGGCAAGAGCAGGTTGGTGGAAAAGAGACAAAAGTGAAATGTATTTCAATGTTTGTTTTTGTAGAAAATGTTAAATGATGTTCAAAGTTAAGTTTCTTTGAAAGCTTGGCCCACCGTTAAGTGAGGACATGATGACACGAAACACTAATGTGGGGTCAGTGACCTGCCTACTAAGGATATGGTTGGCCTATTGGCTGGCGCACAACCTTTTAAAGTGGTTGGCGAAGGGCACTACTACTGGAGGGTCGTGACCCCCACAAATCAAAATCAGAATCTTTATACTGGAGCAATCCAATGAGCTATAAAGCTATTTTTCACGGATGTCACAGAATACCCAATGCAAGCATTATCAATAGTAATGTTCACAAATGGTTTACACGTTGTGCCTTTCCTTTATAGTAGCGGCTGTGACATCCATCCCTCTCCTCCCATACAGTATCTCCATGTTTACCAAAACTCAATGCCGCACAGAATTACCAAAGCACATTGTAAGCTGTGAAGCAGACATTAAAGACCGTGATCTAATTCACAAGATTTGGCTACTGGGTAATTCACCGTTTCAGTCGCGAAAGATTATTGCGTAGTGGGGGCTAAATGATGGACTATAACAACCACTGCCTTCACCTCATTACTTCCAGGTGAGGATGATTTACTCGTGGTGAAGATGATGCTGATAATGGCAATTAATGATTGTGTTAACCATATTTAAACATTCTTAGCTCTTTCGGTAAAGTCACGTTGAAGGGAAACAAAATAATAAAATATATAAACATTTGTGTGCGCGTTGGCATTAACATGCTATGTTGGGACTTTGGTGTTTACCATCTGTTCAGAGGTGCAGATAATAACCCTAACCCACGTGATCTAAGAGCAGGATATATTTATACGTTAGGTGTTCAGCAATGCACAACATCGAATCGTGGTTACAAGAACAAATTATTTTTGTAGAGGCACTGTCCTGCACATATTGTAATTGAGGCGCTGCTCCAATGAATTGTCACGAATTTCGACACGCAAACTGCCACGAGGAGAATCGATGCAAAGTTCGAGATGACGCATTTTCAAATTGGTTTTGACCGTCTTGTCAACTTTCTAACCCAAATAAAGATGCCCTTCCCCAGTCCAGCGGCAGCTCACGTTACAGCGACAGTCAACCCACACGTCAACGGCTCCGTTGACACATCCACTCGCCACACTTCGTCCACCAGCGCATTTCCAAAAAAATCCGAATTTCCTCCATGAACTCTTTTGCAACGCCGAATTATTCAGTGTATTGAGATCGGACAGGAACTCGATTCCTACCTTTGTGACGTTTAATGAGTTTTTATTCTAAATGTAGAAGTGGCTGGCACAGTGGCGTTACAAGATCATTATTTACAGAATCACTGGGTACATTTACAAAACCGCCACAACATTCTCACTTGCCAACTTCTATTGCACCCTCCTAGCAAACACGTCTCTTCGTCACTGAAGGCGATTGGCAGCAATACCTTGCATGGAAGCTAAAAGGTTTGCATACGAAAGAGTGCAGCGCTAAGGATGCTCAGGCCCCAAGCTAACATTGCCACTCGATATGAACGATAATTTAAAAAAAAAACTTCCCTTTATTTCCAAAGGAAAACTTGAGTCTTAAGACTCATTTCCATGAGGCTCCAATTTCATCTTGTGTTTGGCTTCGTATGGGAGGCAACCAACCCACGCATGCAAGCAACACTCAAAGCTCTGCAGATCCAAACATGTGTACTGTACTCCGTCTGGTCACCTCGGCTCAAGCCGACATCGCGTGCCATTCCCAAGTCTCCCATCCACACCCACCAGGATCAACCCCCCGTGTGTTCTCAACCGTCGGACGAGCTCGGAAGCATCCAGAGCGGTACGGTCAGAACCAACATCTGATGTTGTAGACTTCATCCCCACTGCTGTTAATAAGCAAACGTAAATATAGCGTGGTGCTTCATACAGCTAATGGCAGGGGGCGAACCACCCCAGTGGGCACGAATGGGCGCCCTCTCGTGGCTGTGAAGAGAGGGCGCCCACGCGCGTGCGAGCCTCACCTTGCCCCTATTACACGAAGCTTCGTTTCTCATTCAACAATCTTCTGAGCCGCCAGTCGGCTGGAGGAAGTACATGACGAGCAGCTACAGCCATAGTGAAACGTATACTGCATGTGGTGCATCGGGTGCAGAAATATTGCGTGGTAGGCTGCGCTAGGTGGCATGTGACGAGTAGCCAGAGCGAGCGGTCTACAGTGATGGATGCGTGGTGTGCCAGGTGCGGGAATCATTCCTCGGTCACTGAACCGGAAAGACTCGGCTCAAAATTAAGCTCAGGTCTTGTGCTTTGGCAAATCTTGCCCTGAAGTCGGCACTACGCTACGGTCTGGTGACCATAAACGCACACCTCCACTCCGCCTGGGCACTTGCACCAGTAATATTAAAAACAAACCAAACAAATGTGCATACGAACACAACCCTGCGGTGGTCACGATCCACACCCCAGGCTCGTGCACAAAACATGAACGCGTCACACCACGCTGGGGTGGCAGAGCGAGAGTCGCCGCCGCTGCCACTGTGACCACGTGGCCGAAACCGCTCGCTCGTTACCACGTCGCCACCTACTGGGAAGCAGATTCTTAGAGGCCCTCTGCCGTCATTGCTATGGGTAGGGAGCTTGTTGTCGACAAAAACTCAAAACGTGAATTGCACCAGAAACGAAGTTTCAACAACTACAGATAAGACAAAATATTCCCTTGGCGACTTGGTTTCCAGGTCTCCCTGTAACATGACCGCGACCCAGTGACCCCTAGCAGAGACAACCCTCGTGCCGGGCCACATCACGGCGCAGACGCGGCACCTCAGCAGCGCCTTCGCCGCTCGTTGCAAAGGTTTGCGGTTCGATGTGGCAGGCCACCACGATTCACAATGCAGGTGTATTCATTGTACAATTTGCACCGTCTGCTTCACAGGCGACATCAAAGATTCCCTGACGTCATTCAAAATTAGTAGGCCCTCATGTGCCGGCGTCACGGCCAAAATAAAAAAAATTACCTGCAAACTACTCAATTGGGATTACACAGCAGAAATCATTGTTCCCCTACTAGCAGACTAATGGCCGAATGCAAAGTGCTGAATGGCCTTGTGCCCCACTGGGGGTGCCCTTTTAAAAGTTTTAAATGTAAATTACTTATTGTGTATAAAGCGCTCTGAGACGCACCCAGCGTAAAGGAGGGCTGCTCCATCAAACAAATCAACCAACAATGCCGATAACACATGCGGAGGACTGTATGTACTCCCAGATGTGTTCATTACAGACGCACGTGGGCATGGTGGGTGTGCGAGTCTGGGCAGGCTTTGGTCAACTCCCACAAAACCTACCGTGTCGTGTTGAACCTTGAACCCCGCACTGAGTGGCTCAGCGATGAAGAACGCACACAGATTGCTTGAGCTTCTGAACACGCGAATATAGATTTGATTAATGCGTAAAGATTGTTTGATTTTTCCACTTAAAACCTACAACGATGCGGCGGAACAAGTCTTCACGTTATTTTTGTCGCTGTCAAACAATTGCGTCCACAAGCACCCCAGGCGAGGGGCCTGCGAGGTCGTCACCACTTGAGTGGAAAACTCCCTCATCACCACGCATGTCGAGCGCGTTCGATATGGGCACTAGTCTCTGCAGGAGGTGCCCACGGGTGTTGCAGTGCACGGGACAATGGGGCCACCATGGAGCAGCAGCCGACGGAGATGAGCGGTAAACGAACGAGCGGGTGATGCGGTAGGCGAGTGAGGGGTTGATCAGACAAGCTGGTAGGTGCATGAGTAGGTAGGTGGGTGAGCTGGTAGATGAGTGGAAGAGTGGGTGAGCTGGTAGGCGAGTGAGCGAGCGAGCAGATGAACCAGTGGGTGAGCGAGTAATCGGGCGAGTAGGCACACGAGACACCAGATGCGAACCGGCAGGTACTGGCGGGGTCCCTACTGCTGCAATTGGCTCAGCTCGGGGCAGCTGCTCGATAGCTGCTGGAGCTGGGTGTCGATGCGTGCCCGCCGATGCCGTTGGAACGCGCGGGCGCCCGTGAAACCCAGCAGCCCCCCGCCCAGCGCCGCCGCCACCCCCGCCACCTTGAAGCCGACGAGCATCCCCACGGGCCCGCCCAGGATGCCGCCCAGCACCGCCCCCGCCACCGGCAGCATCACCGTCCCAGACTTGGCTGCCTGTGGCATATGAGAGGGGAGTTGATAGTGAATGGGTGTGTGAATGGGTGAGTGAATTGGAGAATGGGTGATTTGAGAGCGATTGGACGTGTGAGTGTATATGTGGTTGAGTGAGTGAGCGGGTGAATACTGGGCGAGCGAGCAGTTAACTGGGTGAGCGAGGCAACAACTGAATGGGTGAGCGAGTGAGCGAGTGGCATGGTGAGTGGAAGAGTCGGTGGGTGGATGAACAGGTGGACGAGCGATGAGCGAGTGGTCGGAACGCACCTTGCCGATCTGCTTCGTTCCTTGCCGTACGTTGTCAGAGGCCATCTCCAACTTGTCCTCGATGGAGTCGATGGCTTCTTGCTGGCTCTGAGGAGCACATGCAAAGCAATGCTTCTAAATCGGCCTCGGCGACAAAACCACTCATGCACTTAACCTCGAAAGGAGCCGCAAACATTTCCAATGGCGTATGGGTCTGCAGGATCATGATCTGTTCTCATGACGAGATGACGCGAATTCATCTCACACGTGCAGAGTGCGAGATGACACTCGAGCGGAAATAATTACAGTGGTAAGAGGTGGCGCAAGGTGGTGCGGGGTGGTGTATGGTGGTGGTGCTAAGTGGTGTATGGTGGTAGTGCTAGGTGAGGTGCAGTGGCACGAAGTGGCACACACACACACAAAGTCCCACTCGAGTGGCACAGCGCTAAGAGTGAGAAGGTGGCGTTCTGCACGTACATGCACCATGTACGAGAAGTCAGTGACCAGGGAGTTCAGCTCCGTTAATTCCTGGGGAGAGGAAGAGAGACAATAACTCTTGGATGTGACGTAAATTCAACAGAGATTTACCGCAGTGCTTTGTTGTGAAGGCCGATCACAAAATCATTCTTGGCTACGTTGTTGGTGGCAGAGAGCAGTGTTGTAATGCACTCCTGTGTTCCCACATCTATGTTCCCCATCTTCACCAACCAACACTGTGGTGAAGTATGGTCAAATAATCCCCAAACCGCACGCGGCATTGGGAGTATCCAGCAGCGGATTGACAAAGGGTCCGTTAGTGCACATTTTCTGTAACGTGGACAATGAAGGCCACGTTACAGAAACTGCTCAGTGGAGGCCGCTGTCATTATTCGCGCCAGAGCGATGGCGACAAGCGAGGGGACTCTGGGGCAACCTCGCACAGGTGCTCCCACGACTCGGACGCATCCTCCTCCTGTGGGATCTCGTGCAGCGCGAGCAGCTGATCCTGCAGCTGCGGCGATGAAGGGGGTGTCGAGGGTGGCCCCGCTTGCTCCCCTGCCCCCTCCGTGGGCCCCGATGCGGCGTCGTCGCGCACCAGCAGCTCTGTCGACACCATGGATGGACGGACGCGGTGTGAATGAAACTCGCAAACACCCTGTGTGACGCTGTGTTATTTAGAGAGCGCGTCGGTCAAGGAAGGAAGGAATTGGCAAAATTCGTCATCATCTTCATAATTGTCTACATTATAAAAATGTGGTTTTACTTTGAGTCAGTCTGTCGACCACAAAGCCAATCAAGGGCTCATTCAGACACGAGAGAACCGGGAACATACAATGCTGATAATAAGCTACCTACAGCCTCTACCCAATGTCAGTAACAAAGTGACCGAGTGGCATTTTAGACTGCTACGGGGCTACGAGTCAGCAGAAGGCAGTGCCAGAAATTCCAACTGTTGTACTTTACTGCACTACGAAGTCTACGCTCCCCGCCTTCGCCAACCCGCACTGACCGGTGCGGCGAAGGCTGGTCAAATGACCCCCACGTGCTAACGCGCAGGCTGACCGGAGAAGTCGCTGGCGGAGCGCGTCATTCTGGACGCCGCTCCTTCCCGTCCCTCGTCGCGCCCGCGCACGTCGCAGGGCGGCAACGAGAACGCGGGGGGGCAGCTCGTGGCAGGGTGGCGCAGGAAGGCGGCGATGGCAGAGGAAGCAAGGTCGCGTGCCGGCTGCACAATGTGCTCGAAGGCAGCGCCGTCGGCTGTGCGAAGCAGCAAACGAAGCTTTTCCATCTCCCGCACGTTAAACTGCAGCTGCTGCACACGGCACAGCCACAGCAAGGTCAATACCAGTATGGGCCTCGTCGACAGGAGTGACGAACCGTGCTCTCGTCAATGACCCCACTGCCACCCTCAAACAGGTTTCGAGCCCTAGCTTGTCGTGCATGGGCCCTACCAGAGATTCATCTCTCACTGGACGTTTTCCAGGTCTCCGGTCGAGCGCAGTAGGCACGTGACCCATAGCCACAGAAATTATCTTCGAGGTAACATTCGTACACTTTACAAATCGTAAACATTACATGTTAAGAAATATTCAACGCTTGTATCGTGAGTGCAAAACGGATTTTGTCCAATATACGCCCAGTGAAATGGGTACATGGTTGTCATGTAGGACAACAGATATGCTGCACTGATAATCTCTCAAGGTGGAGGAGCTGCTGTACAACTGCTTTCTCCACACGCCAGCACGTCGGGTTTTTCTGGTGGCTAGCGCCGTCCACGCATATGTGCGTGCGTGAGTGTGTGATTGCATGCATGAGGGAGGTTGTGTGGTTTGTAGTTTCCTCGTTGCGCCTGCGCTGGGTGAAGGCATGAGGTTAACGTCCCGTGCGCTCACCTGCACGGTGCGGCTCGCGTTGATCTGCTCCTGATGGAGCAGTTTCCAGTCCTGCTGGCTGTTGTACTTTAAAAAAAACACACACACAGACAGACTAAAAACAAAGCTCCCCCATACAGCCTTAACATACTTTTATGGAAAGTGCTGTTCGCGAGCACCCATGAAGGCCGGCACAGTACATGAAGGGCTGGGTAGCCAGCACCACAACCTTTGTCTTCCCAGTGGCGATATTTACACACCGTACCAAATACTCATTGAGGCTGAGGCGATTAGGGGAGGCCCAGGATCAGATCAAGTAATCGTCGCTGGTGTTGGCTGCGAGCGGGAATCGAACTCGGGTCGCCGGGTTTGTAGCATGGCATGCCATTAAGCGGCAGGTGTGATGTGTCTCCGTTTGGTGGCTGAGTGCGGTGGCCGAGTAGTGGTTGAGTCTTTGCGGTTGAGTCACGTGGCTGAGTGCAGTGGCTGGGAGTAGTAGTTGAGTCGAGGCTTTGTTTTTGAGTGTGGTGGTTAAGTCTGCAATGACTGAATGGAAAATGTAATGGTTGGGAGGGTAATCGAGAGGTTTATCCTTTTTGGTTGAGTGGGTCTCTGTGGTAATTGAGTGGATATTGAGTGAGTGGCTGGGCGGTTAAGTTATTGGGGATGAATGTGGTGGCTATCTTGAGCCCGAGTTCATGCAGTCACTACGTGACTAACATAGCGGTTGAGCGGGTGTTTAATTGAGCGACTGAATCTCCTCGGTTGAGTGTGATGGTGCTGGGATGCGATGGTGCTGGGATGCGATGGTGCTGGGATGCGATGGTGCTGGGGTGCGATGGTGCTGGGGTGTGAGCTGCTCCCCCACCTTCTCGATGTTGACCTGGTGTCGCGCCAGGCGCTCCAGGTCGGTGGGGATGGCCACTCGGGTGAACTTGTTGAGCGCCGGCTCCAGGCGCCGCAGCGGCACCTGCGTGGCAGCCCCGCCGCCGGCCCCGCTCTCCGCCATGCCGCTAGCTCGCGCGCTTACGAAGCTCGCGCTATCCGCTCGCCCGGCCCCTTGCCATCGCGCTGAAATGCACGCTCCAACTCAACTGGACGTCCTTGCAGTGGAAACAACTGTGTGGCTCAAACAATGGCACTGACAGTCAGGGCGACTGTTAGCAGAAGAGACAACAGGGGTAACATGGCAGGGTGGACTTACAACAGTGTGGACATAGAGCAGGGGCGACTATTGGGTGACTGCGTGTGACCAGGTGACCTTGCTCAGCACTGAGGCACGGTAGTGTAGTGGATAGTGCTTTGTGCTAAGAACCCGGCGATCAGAGTTCGATTCCCGCTCACGGCCTACACCAGTAACGATTATCTTAACCGGTCCTGGGCCTCCCCTAGGTCAGCTCAGCCTCAAATGAATACCTGGTGTGGTGTGTAACGTCAACATTGGAGAGAAAAAGGCGACCGGGCATGGTGTTGGCCACCCACTCGCTCGTGTGCCGTGCCGGCCTTCATAGGTGCTTGCTTACAACACTTTCCCCAAAAGTCTGTTCAGGCTATATGGGGGATCTTTGTCTTTTTTGTTTTTCTCAGCACGCCGCCTCCACAAGCGTTCACTTTTTACAAAACAAGATCAGTGCAGTGACCATTACATCGCACCTGATGCGTTACTGACGTTCTAGACACGATGCTTCATCTCCAATCAACCTCCGGCATTAACGTTGCATTCTCAGAATCCTAAAGGTGACGATCTGGCGAAGCCTCCAGCATAAACACTGAACCCCAGGAATGTTTAGGACTGTTTCTCTGTCAGCTATAATATGCAATGCAACAACATCCGCATAGCATTCACTGCCTCCTGGCGACAATCACAACTGATTAATATAAAATTACACAACGAGACACACCACGCACTGCTGCGCATGGACACGTACACTGCTGAGCTTTTGTCAATCCACTACTAACCGAGGGCCTCCTGGAACCTTCCGGGTTCGTGGGGGGTTATTGTGACCATACTTCACCGCGCTGGTCAGTGCGGGTTTGGTAAAGATTGGAAGCAAACAAGTACTGTACAACAATGGGCTTTGCTGCACAGCCCTCTGCTGTCCAATGTCGTCATAACAACCCTCGCCGCTAACCACGAGTGGCGGTGACGTCACCACTGCGCTGGTGCCAGGCGAGGTGCACCCTGAGGCCATACGAAGTGCAGAAGAAGGCTCGCTGGCAGGTCACACAACAGACCCAAGTGTCATGGGTTGACTGACTGTGCTCCTCTACTGTGCTAACTCATTTCGTTGTTGTGAATTTAGTCGTATAGCATTACTGCTACAACAACAACAACCCTAATGCGTGCCGATTGCCCATCCAAACACTAACCAGGCTCAGCTTTCCGATCAGTGACGAGGTCGGTCGCTTTGCGGGTGGCGTGGCGAGTCCGGAACTACACGTGGGCGATCGCCAGCCCCATCAGTTTCTGTTCCCACTTCTCGCTCACGGCGTCGGAGACCCATTTGGGCACACGCAGCTCGCCACACCATCAACCCACCCGTGTACACTAACACACGACACACACTGCACAGGCACACGTCTGGCAAACACAACGGCGCCGACGTCACCACGGCGCTTGTGCCAGGCTAGGTGCACTTTGAGACCTTCGCGCGAAGTGCGGAAGGCTCTCTCACCGCTGGGACGAGGAAATTACGGGACAGAGACCCAGGCGTTATGGGTTGACGAGCGTGCCAGGCTAGGTGCAGGTCATGGGATAGATCCCACTGTGCCAATTAAAACCACACGCGCGCGTGTACACATGGACACATGATACGCAACCCGCAGACACACATGGACACACACGGCGTAACGCAATCACAAACACGCGCACAACAACAGCCGCCGCCGTTCGCCACTTAGTGGCGCCGACGTCACCACGGCGCTTGTGCCAGGGTAGGTGCGCTTTGAGGAAACGCTCACAGATACCCGCTCCCCAACATTATCCATGAACATACTCCATAATCCAGGTTTTTCTGGGTTAGATCGCGTAGGTATGTGTCGTTAAACCCACCACCACCCGACACAGACAACTAGTAAGGTTTGTCACGTAAACAGAACGTGCCAATTCGTCACTAGTACAGCACACGGGTGTCTTGGAGAGTAAATCCACAACATTTACATCACCCAACAAAAAGCCCTGTATTGTCCATGAACAGACTACTGTTGGGACCAGTGGTGCTTGACAGGGTTGGTGTGGCCAGCACCACCACCCATACCCAGTCACTCCTCACCCAGTCACTCGCTCGCTCCTCACTCCTCACCCAGTCACTCCTCACCCAGTCACTCGCTCGCTCCTCACCCAGTCACTCGCTCCTCACCCAGTCGCTCCTCACCCAGTCACTGCTCACCCAGTCACTCGCTCGCTCCTCACCCAGTCGCTCCTCGCCCAGTCACTGCTCACCCAGTCACTCGCTCGCTCCTCACCCAGTCACTCGCTCCTCACCCAGTCGCTCCTCACCCAGTCACTGCTCACCCAGTCACTCGCTCGCTCCTCACCCAGTCACTGCTCACCCAGTCACTCGCTCGCTCCTCGCCCAGTCACTTCTCACCCAGTCACTCGCTCGCTCCTCACCCAGTCACTGCTCACCTAGTCACTCGCTCGCTCCTCACCCAGTCACTGCTCACCCAGTCACTCGCTCGCTCCTCACCCAGTCACTCGCTCCTCACCCAGTCGCTCCTCACCCAGTCACTCGCTCCTCACCCAGTCGCTCCTCACCCAGTCACTGCTCACCCAGTCACTCGCTCGCTCCTCACCCAGTCACTGCTCACCCAGTCACTCGCTCGCTCCTCGCCCAGTCACTTCTCACCCAGTCACTCGCTCGCTCCTCACCCAGTCACTGCTCACCTAGTCACTCGCTCGCTCCTCACCCAGTCACTGCTCACCCAGTCACTCGCTCGCTCCTCACCCAGTCACTCGCTCCTCACCCAGTCGCTCCTCACCCAGTCACTGCTCACCCAGTCACTCGCTCGCTCCTCACCCAGTCACTGCTCACCCAGTCACTCGCTCGCTCCTCGCCCAGTCACTTCTCACCCAGTCACTCGCTCGCTCCTCACCCAGTCACTGCTCACCTAGTCACTCGCTCGCTCCTCACCCAGTCACTGCTCACCCAGTCACTCGCTCGCTCCTCACCCAGTCACTCGCTCCTCACCCAGTCGCTCCTCACCCAGTCACTGCTCACCCAGTCACTGCTCACCCAGTCACTCGCTCGCTCCTCACCCAGTCACTGCTCACCCAGTCACTCGCTCGCTCCTCGCCCAGTCACTTCTCACCCAGTCACTCGCTCGCTCCTCACCCAGTCACTGCTCACCTAGTCACTCGCTCGCTCCTCACCCAGTCACTGCTCACCCAGTCACTCGCTCGCGCCTCACCCAGCGCCGTGTGCTCCCAGCTGCTCGTCAACTCCTGGCGCCCTCACGACTGGTGACGTCCGTTATAAACCACGCTCGCGCGTGACATCATGTAACCCGTGCTCGCGCGTGACATCATGTAACCCACGCTCGCACGTGACGTCATGTAACCCACGCTTACGCGCGACGTCATGCAACGCATGTCTGCGCATGACATCATGCAACGCATGTCTGCGCGCGACGTCATGCAACCCATGACTGCGCGTGAAATGCGTTGCATGATGTCACGCGCAGTCACAGTCCCTGTGATCACTGTTACGTTGCAATTATGGCTTTAAATTTCGATTTAAAGCTTTCGTGACTGCAATGATTCACCTTCTTTGGTTCTTTCGGTAAAGTCACGTAGAATGAGAATAAAATAATAAATTGATCAAATAAATAACACAATAATATAACACAATGTCTGGACAGTCTCGTCCCTTCACCTGATGAAGGCCGCTTGTGTTGTGGCCGAAACGTCGTGAGAATATTATTATTTTATTTTATCAATTTATTATTTTATTCTCATTCTACGTGACTTTACCGAAAGAACCAAAGAAGATTATGGCTTTATTTCGGTGATTTCGAAAACGTTTTTTGGTTTGGACATGTTTGTTGTAGTACGGAGTTAGACTGATGGCCTTAATCTAAGTTGTCTTGTGGTTGTTGTTGTTGTTTGACTTGCATCCCACTGGGATTTGTTGCACACAGCGTTGGTGTACGGTGCTTTTTTCAGGAATATTTTTGCTGGTTTTTTCATGGATTTTCTGTTTGCACAGTCACAAAGTCACTTTAAGATGTTTTTCTTGTTCGTGTTTTTGTTTATTTGTTTGTTGTGGTTGCACCCGATTCAAGAGCCTAATGGCTCAGGGCTTTACCAAAATAAACTGAAAAAAAATAAAAATGTCTGCGCGCGACGTCATGCAACCCATGACTGCGCGCGACGTCATGCAACCCGTGCTCGCGCGTGACATCATGCAACCCGTGACTGCGCGTGACGTCACGCAGGCTTCTGCCGACTGCGGGGAGCAACGGGTGCGTTGATGGGACATTGGCACCGTTTTTCCACGAAGCCGATAGACGACAGAGGTGTTTTTATTCGGCTCTGAAAGAAAGTACTGGCGGCATGGAGAGACTGAGGCTCCGCAGTGTGCGGTGACAAGGTGGCTGACTGGCTGTGTCACCGCTGGGGCGTCTCTGACAGAGAATATTCACAGCTCGTTCACCGATAAATGAGGCGATTCACAGTCGCTTAATTGCCTACGGCCGCATCAGCCTGAACGCGCCCGATCTCGGCAGCTCAGCAGGATCGAGCCTGCTGGATGGGAGCCCGTCTGGGGACGCCAGGTGGTGGTACAGGCTTTTGCTGTCTGCAGCGGGTGGCTTTTGGTGCTCTGCCACTGCAAACCAGCTGGGTAACTGGATACACGGGATTTTTTGTGTAACAAATACACATTTATTGATTGGTTTTAAGTAATTTTTATTAATCGATAAAAATTGCATCTGTACCTTAGATCCTCTAAAGCTTCCTTTCAACAAATAAACAGCAAATCACCCGAGCAACAAAAACACTCGCGAGTACACCCAGCCACCGCTGCACCGTTCACTTCCACATGGACGGCACACCCTGAAACAAAAACCACTCCTCACGGAATTATAAATTCACATAACACGACCCAGAGGTAAATCCTCCTATCTGGCGGGGGGGGGGCAGCAAGTGGTGACGATATCCTTCAAGGTCATGGCTATTACTACACAAAGTCAGGCTCACGTCTTTCACGCCGACAACAATGCAAACGTGAAACCAAGGCACGCGGTGAATTAACAATTATTTCCTGCCCTTTATAAAACCACTGTTGGACAATGGCCTCCCCACGCCTTGTCAGCCATCAGAATCAATTCACCATATACTGGTCTGGGAACCGTGGACAACACCAACCACGACCTGCCTGTACACTCACCAAGTTACCAAGTGACTCACTGCGAGGTGGCGACACAGAAGTCACCAACAAAGTGTCAGCACACGATAAACAAGTGGTGTAAATTCTACATTCCCATGACGGACACGAGTATATCCAGTCTGCGGCCACTCTTTTGACTTCCCACCCACACAGTGGTCAATCATTGCATCGAGCCGGGATGGGCGGCGGGCTGAGTTAACAATTGGCGAGCAGTACTCTAACTTACGATATAGACGAGTCACGTGCTGTGACAACAGAGGCAGCCCATTGGATGCGACTGCAGTCACGCGAAACGCGACTGCCATCCAGCTTCCCAAAGCCGGCCGGCTTCCGTGGCTGTAAAATGCATCCCTGGCTGTGAAATGCATCCCTTGTAATGCAGGCTGAGAGGCCTGGGAATCGCGAGCCATCGCCGTGGACGGCTGGGTCAGGGTGCTCACTCGCGCGTCGCTGCACACGGGACCCACGATCCAATTCCAAGGTTCACAAATAATTTACACCGGTGAAACCAAACAATGCGTGCCATCTGCTGGATGCACGTGAAAGGTCCTGTGAGATTATTGGCAGGAGTTGGTGATCACACGTGTGAGCGTCTGAGCCGAAATCCCAATATTTTTCCAAAGATGAACAAAGAGCTCCCATAATAACTACACCCACATTCCCCTTGCAAATGAACAATACAGAGCTGTAACAAATAACGGACCTCAATGAGCTGTTACCTGGTTAAAGGGCCGTGAAATTAATAACTGAATATCGGGATACATTCAATACTATCCGCCACTTTTATAAATATACTTTATAACAGCAACACAAGCAGTTCCCCACATACAGGCACTTTCCCCGACTTATTCTTCATTACACAAGATTGTCAAATATAAAAAGTTTACAGTCTTCGCGCCATCACCAAATACTGCACAAAAACCTCACTGCGGTAAGTTTTAGATTTTTGTTGCAACATTGCCACGACCGGCTCAGAGGCCAATGAGGGCCTGCGGGAGGCATGTGCGTGGTGATCCACAGCACGGCGGGTGCAGAGGGGGAAGCGCAGAGGCCCCGCCGCTCTAAGGAAGCTGCCGAAATGTCGACGCCTCTCCGCCTCGCGCCTCTCGCTCTCATGGTGAGATCGATCGGTCGCAACCTGCCATGACATCCACACTGCGTGGAGGTTGAGGGATTGGTAAATAAAGTATTGAAATGTCCAGGGAATATTTGTAACACCCCCATTAGATTTGCCCTGTATTTCTCTCCAAAGCACCACACCATTTTATATTTAAATTAAAAAACGAAAGTATGAAAATAACCATCACCACCCATACAAGAGGTCCAAGTCCCCAGTTCCCTGTGGCAGACGCCACGTGGTCGGTATTGAGTCCCGCGGTCCCTGGAGGGCCGTGGAGCCAGGCGCTGCACCACCACCTCCACCGCCTCCCTTGCCCTAGTCACACGTAGGCCCCAGGTGGCACCTTGGTGGAGCTGAGTGGCGCCTTGGAGGAGCTGGGGTAGACGAGGAAGAGGGAGAGCTGGCCCAGCCCCAGAAGGGCTCCCAAGAGGTTGGGCACCTGGAGGACAGCGCGGTGGAGGGAGGGCAGCAGCAACACAAGGCAACAGGGCCAGAGGTTACGGGGTCAGCGTGGACCGACCACGTGGTCGACGCCGATGGAAACCCACGCGGTCAATGCGTCGTGCCCCATGCCCTGCGCTTGGCGCTGTGAGCGGCGCCGGCGATGTTGTTTACCTCGTGATACCCGGGCTACACTCACCTGTATGAACGTGTCTTGCAGCATGAGGCCGTAGATGAACCATTCGGTGCCCACCACGAGGTTGGCGGCGCACAGCGGGAAGGCCAACGACTCGGTGCTCCGCGAGCGCACGACCTCAGCCTGCAACGGCAGCAAGAGGCTTCAAACGCGCATCTCGTACTTACAGAAAA